CACTTCCCTACTTCTGCTGGCCACACTATTTCTGATACAGGCCGGGATGCCATTGGCCTTCTTGGCCGCCTGGGCCCACTGCCGGCTCATGTTCAGCTGGCTGTCAACCAACACCCCCAGGTCCTTTTCTGCCAGGCAAGTTGGGATTTCAGGAGACTGCTTATGGAGAATTCCTAAACAGATTGAGAGAGAACCCTAGGCTTATTGCATCCTGTCTGGTTGCTGGAGAGAAGCTCAACCAGGACAACACTCAGAGTGTCATTCACACAGTCTTTACCTCCATTTATGGCAATTGCATCATGCAGGAGGATGAGAGCTACCTTCTCCAGGTCCTCCGTTACTTGATTGAATTTGAACTCAAGGAAAGCGACAACCCTAGGCGGCTCTTGAGACGAGGCACCTGTGCATTCAGCATCTTATTCAAACTTTTCTCTGAAGGACTCTTTTCTGCAAAACTTTTTCTTACTGCAACTTTACATGAGCCAATCATGCAGCTTCTTGTTGAAGATGAAGACCACCTGGAAACTGATCCAAACAAGTTAATTGAGAGATTCTCCCCAGTACAACAGGAAAAGTTATTTGGAGAGAAAGGCACAGAAAAGTTCAAGCAAAGAGTCCAAGAGATGGTTGACTCCAATGAGGCCAAGCTGGTGACCTTGGTGAACAAATTCATTGGCTATCTCAAACAAAATACTTACTGTTTTCCTCACAGCTTGAGATGGATTGTGTCACAAATGTACAAAACTCTCTCATGTGTAGACAGGCTGGAGGTAGGGGAGGTCAGAGCAATGTGCACAGATCTTCTTCTAGCATGTTTCATCTGTCCTACGTACTATAGACAAGACAACAGCAACACTTATATTTGGATATCACTTTCCCGTGATGTGATGTGATGTGCATATTAATATAAAATCTTCTAAAAACTATAGCTATAAAGCTGGTCTCTACAGCATATGCTGAATAACTAGTACTATTAGTACTAGTACTAACAATAGCTATGCAATTGATGTGAAAAAGATTATTACTTATGTATGGTAATCCTAACTGATGAGGTATGAAAAGTTTCCAGAAGCCACCAGTAAGATTTTCCAGGCATTTCTGGAACTCCCTATATCTCATTCTGCGACTTTCAGCTTAGTGAGGGAAGGGTGTTCTGCCGGACTCACACTGCATAAAAATTGGCTTAATATTTCCCCCACTCTCCCAATGGTTTGCTACCAGTGCCATGTTTATAGAACTCACCGAGGTTTCAGGAGATTTAAATCTAAATAACTCCTCCAGCCCTGTCCCATAATTCTCAGGAGATTGTCTAAATGCTGGGCCCTCTAAATACTGCCCATTCACAGCAATACCCTAAACATTAGGCTGTAGCTTAATGGCTTTAGCCATCTGGGCTGACAATTATTCTATGCAAAAAGGATAGTGCTTCAGAAAGAAGATCGAAGAAAATGCCAGAATATCCAACAGGCCGATGCTCAGAGCTCCTCAATAGGAAGCTCAGACAAAAGGGCAGCTGCCACCTCCAGGGAGACATTCCAGCTCCTTGGCTATCAGGGTTTGCTGGCTGTGAAGGGGTTAACATGTTCCCTGCACACCAAAGTAAAGGCGTAAGTTCCCCTGAAGCGAGCACCAAGCTAGTTCAGCATGGTAGCTCCCTACCATGCTCATTTAGGTAGCTCCCTACTCAACAAATGGATCCTAAAGAGTTAAGCCCTTTCCATGCACTGAAGATGAACAGAACAAGATTCACTCTTTGGGCTTCTTAGGTAGCAGGAAATGTGAGAGCTGAATCAAGTCCTTTTTTTGTGTGTCCTCTCCAGCTCCCTCCTTGGGACCAGAAGCTGCCAATGGCAACTCTGCTCATCATGAACAATAAAACTGTCAAGGACAATAGTGGTCTCATGAGAGAGGATCATCTCTGCATTTGGCGGGTCAACAGAAAATCTCCCACTAAGAGGCGATTAACAATAAATTTGGCAGCCACTGTGACATGATGAAAGACATGGAAAAAGAACTATCTATGCTAACAGAATATGGTGAGAGACAGGGAGGGGGCGAGAAAAATGAAGTCACATGCTCCAAAGGAGCAAGAAACAATCGGTAAATTGCACTAGGCTTACGCACTTATAACATGCTCAGTTCCTACAGTAATTAGAACAACATCAATATATTGGATATATTAACCTTCAAACAGGGGGCAGATGGTACAGTTCTGATCTAAATATGCAAGGGGTACTATGCCACAAGTTCATAGCTGTAAGTGCCAATGTGTCCCACTATGCATTGCAATGGCTATTGCTATGGAGAGGCAAGCAGCTAAAGCCCTAGATAAATCCATAGTTGTCTATATCTGGGAACTCAAAATAAGTTGCCAAGATGATCTTGTAGGCTCTTGGATCTGGGCCTTAATACATCATGATTTATGGCTTGACTTAAAGGCAGATACATTCCATTTCTGGACTATGTCTGACATGTTGAATGTGCTCATCTAGAAACAGTATTTTTAGGAAGAAATTGTTCCAGACATTTGGAAGAAGGCCTTTCTGCCTGAGTTTTCAATAGCTCAGTAGCGGGTGTCCAAGCTTTTGTAATGGAACAGGCAGTCACATCAGTAAAGCATGTCTCCAAATTTGCCCTGCTTCAGGATTTTTTATTTACTAGAATCCCATTTTTACCCTGCGTAACCAACGTTTTCTAGAGTGCCAGACACTATTGACTAAATTAATCTGAGGCAAATAAATTGAGCCTGCAGATGTATTTGGCTGCTCTAGTCAAACCCAGCTGATGGACTTGGGGGTTTTGGAGGAATTTCTTAGGGTTTCGGTGTGTGCAGGCAGTGCAGGGATCATCTGCATTAGTTTGCCAGGCCAATATGCCAACATTTGCTAATGTACTAACTCAGCTGGTCTGGAGAGACCATTTGTAAGAACAAGTGGTTAGTTCAGATTCTTGATCTTTCTGTTTAAAGAACAGAACTAGTTGTCATCTGCAATTCTGCAGGAAACTGAAGGGAGGAAAAAGAAGGGACAACAGAAATGATCTGGCAGAAAACAAAGCAAACTGTGTCCAAATTGAAAAAGAAAAAGACCTGAGAAAGAGGATACAGGGGAAGAAGTAAAATACTAGTAGGTACAAAGCAAGGAGGCTATAAGCATATTAAAAACAATGATCAGTGAAACAACTGAGAGGAATGTTGGATACAATTTTCAGGTTGCTAGCAACACTTATCTGAGACTTCATGCTTAACTTTACCTACTGGCAGGATTTCTAACTTTACAGTTTTAAGTTTTCTTCAGTCATCTCTATGTGCTAGTGTTCAGCAGAGATGTTTGCAGTTCTTTAGTTGGGATAGCATTTTGAAGTTGAACAGGAGCCTTTTGCTATTCAAGGTCCTACAGCATTCTTCTTCCTGGACCAGTTACCAGCTGTACGTGTGCTTTTGAACAAGAAGTGGGAGGGGGAGAGGGAGGAAATCTAGAGTAATTACTGCATTTGAGGGTTTTTTGACTCATTACTACCACTATACCTGGAAACAAATTAGAATTTTGAAATAATTCTGACTTTCATAACAAAATGCAAGTTTTTGTGACTACAGAAAAAAACAGGTTAATATAATAATATAATAATATAACAGGTTAATTTCAAATTTACAAGAAGAAACTAGCCTATCTTAAGACTTCCCAAGTTGTGACTCCTGCATGGGAAGTCATTGAGTTTCTTACCTCCCTGAACTATTTGCCAAAAGACTTTTCACACACAAACAATTCAAGTTTTCTAAAATTAGCTTTTAAAAAGCTATTTTTGTTCCCACAGCTATGTCTCCATGAAAACTCAGTCTTGTATTATAAGCAAAAGAATGCAATTCATGTAAATAAGCCATGTTAGAAATGAAGTTTGTAAAGCAAAAAATAAGACAAGATTTCTAAAATAATTCCTGGGAAGACTGACAGTCTCAAGTATCTGTACATCATACCAGACTTCAATTCTACCTTGCTCTTGTAACTTGCCCAATTTGTTGGGCAAGAACAGATACCTTTTGCTCTCCTCAGAAAACTGTGTACAGCGCAAGTTAAACAAGAAAGTAATAGCATTGTTTGGACTTCTTTTTTTATAAGATATCTTTCTGCTTTTGCTAGCAGTTAGAGACTACTATTAATAATTGTTAGAGACTTCTAGTAATTGATTTAAGTCTTTCAAATGTGATGAGACAGTTTTAGCCACCAGCACACCTACATCAAATGCAGGACCTATGCCAGAAATTGCAGTGATCTGCTTTGTGACACCAGGTCTTTGTACAGACCTCCCTGTTCAGCCTGCTGAATTCAACCCTTCAGCTGCATGTGAATATCTCCCTCATCCCCGGGGGCCAGCAGAATCTACCACCCCTGAGCCCAGCTGGGGGAAGGGAGG